ATCGGAAAAAGAATTTAATAAAAATCAAAGAAAAGAAATACTTGAAAGAATGACACAAATATTTTCATTTGAACTTGACCCATTTTCAATAGTACTCAATAATATTTGGATTGATTATTTTGGTAAGAAAAAGAAATGTAAACTAAATGTTGTTTTAGAACACGAGAGCATTTTGCTAGCATATAGTGTAAACTAGTTTGATTATATATTTCATGCATGGTCAATGATATATCTACCGGGAGGGCGGCGTCTTTCCAGAGAACGATTTTGGCCACTCGTGAATTACAGTTTTTGTGCTTATACTATGTATTTGCCCTCCCGGAAATCGCTATCGCACTCTCAACAGAAAAACCCTAGATAAAACACTGAATTTATTTTTAATATTATTTTTTTAGCATTATTGAAGATTAGTACTGGTATTGAACAACGTTTACTTATTACTTGGTTATATGGTATTAATGGTAAACAACCATTAAATAAATCTTGTTTATTAAGTTTACAACAATATATTCAATGGTATTGGTTAGAACAGGAAAGTATTCACCTTTTATTAGGAATTTTACTTCGACAATATGATCGTCATGGTGAAAATTTATGTACAATGAATGAGTTTTCATTATTTCTTTTTCGTCTTTTATTTCCTTCGTTTAAAATTGATGGTTATGTTACAGAAAAAATTAATGATATTGATGCAAATCGAACATTTAAATATGGTGAACTAATTATTAATCATTTACGACGTTTAAAACTTCATCGAGATGATATTATTGAAGCATTATGGATTCGAATTGAAAATGCTTTTGTATGAATTTAGAAAAAAAATCTATCTTTTTTATTTATTGTCTTTAAATTTCTAGGCAAGTAATAGGACAAAACAATTGAAATGGTTTGAATGGACAACGATTTATTCATTAATTTCAATTGATAATGAAATATTTCCTAATACAACTGTACAAAGTCGTCTTGGTGTTCATCTTATTCAAACAATTCGACAATTAAATCATACATCTGATCAACAATTCAATCAATTCATTTTAACACGTGTACGAACATCACCAGCATTAAAACGATTACTTAAAGAATGTTTAGCATTAACTGGAAATGATCAAGAACTCTATGCAATGTGTATATCATTGCTTGACTAGAGACGATTCTGTTCTTTATTTTTTTGCCAGATAATTTTTTTTTGTGTATTCATATTATTGTGAAAAAAGAAAAGAAAAACAAAATAAAATTTGGTGTTAGGTTAAAATCTTTTAAATTAAACGTTTTAAAATGATAAATAATAGAACTAATCAAAAATTGATTCTTTGATAAGAATATTTCTTGTATATGTCTATTTGAATAGTTGTATAGATAAGGTTTGTAAGTGAATGCATTTGTTTGATATTTTACAATGAATTTCTTATTTTATCGAACAGATGTTTTATATTTTCAGGCTTTTATCAACTAATTGAAATCATTTCTTTCACACTTTTAATTTCATATATATATTGACTCTATCATAAACAATTATATTCATTTCGAATCATGTCGTACATTGATTTTCGATCAATACTCATCGCAAAATATTTTTTATATATTTCTAGACGATTGCTGAATTAATTCAATACAACAACAAAGATCACAATCGACTAAGTAGATTATTACATAAAACAAATGAAATACTTGGATATGATTTTCCTTGTCAGATTTATATATATGTATATTATCCTTCTTCAATTTCATTGTCATAATCAATATAAATTCATTTGTAAGTAAATATTTTAATATGAACATTGTCTAAGAACGAATTTCTTTCTTTCTGATAACTTATCATACTGTCTTCAATTATAATTGAAGCTTTTTAATATATATTTATTCAAGAGAAAGTCAGACGAAATTATATTTTTTTCTAAAAGATCGATACGATATCTATGTATATATTGTTTTGTCTTTTATTGATACTAAATTAATATGTCATCAGAACTAAAAATATCATATTCCACATCTAAGATTACTGAATAAAAAAAAATATCGTTTTATGATGTTGATTTTTCTCGAAAATTCTCTACCAATTACAAATGAGAATACTTCTTGCTTATTTTAAATGTCCAAATATTGATAGTGAACTACTTGAAGATAAGCACAATGATGATGAAACTATGAGTGTCTATCGTAAATCACATCGTTTTGTTTTCTCCTAATTAAAGAGTCATTTCATTATCTTTTCGTTC